GACTAAAGGGAAGGCAGCTAGTCATCACCACCCACAGGCAACTCTTGGGCTACTCTTTTACCAACGAATAGTGGGATTGACCGTCACATTATAATGCCCCCCACGGCTGAAAGGGCAAGCATGTTTGATGGGACGGGGATTCAAACCCGCGACCCGCAGATTGCGAGTTGAGCACCCTAACTTCCTGGCCATGCTGGCCCACATATGCTTGTGCCGCTGGCCTTTGACTTCAGTCTAATGGATAATAATGGCCATCCAACTGTACTAAAGTAAATGCATTCCTTGACTTATTTATTATTATTATTATTACTGATTTAAGTAGCCTGCATGTTTATCACACTTTAATATCATTCTGCATATGTACTGCATCTTTGGGAATGACTTCAGGCACCAAAAAGATAATTTTTTCAGAGGTGTGGTTAGCCTCAAGATATCATCATCACTCTAACGCAAGTATGCACCACTTGTACCAGGCTGCCCTTGCTTTTTGTGGCAATTCCACTGCATAATAAAGTGAAATATCAGGAACTGTGAAGATGTGAAGTACCTCTACTATGTCATGAAATATCAGGAACTGTGAAGATGTGAAGTACCTCTTCTATGTCATGAAATGTCAGGAACTGTGAAGATGTGAAGTACCTCTACTATGTCATTCACAAGCATAGTTGATATCACATGATAAGATGCCCGACTTGCACAAAAATGAAATGAGGGGAGTGATAGACAATATTTTATAAAATTAATTATGCTCTGTCATCGCTAAAATATTTTACATTCCTAATATTCAATATTTTGTATAGCACAGACACACACACACACACCTAATCATTTACATACAACCTGAAATTCACCCTCCAAAAATTACTTTCATAATTATTAATTTACTGTTATCAGGTACAGTTATTTACATTTTCTGCACGAGCAGTATTTCTAGTTTTTATGTTTAATGTCATTTTTAGTTAACTTATATTTAACTCTTTTATTAGGTGTCAAATTTCAGTCAAAAAAAATTTGACATAGAACTTCAAATTCCATTCATCTGGTCAACATTTGATTCTACATAAGATACAGATGTTGACCATCTACCCTTTAAACTCATGTTATAAAAAAATGTTTTATTTTAAAAATATAAAACAGTTAATTTTTATACAAACTGCCAACACTATAATTACTGAATGTTCTCTTTTGAAAAATAATGCATTCCTTTTAACAAGGCATACAATGGCTAGCAATATGAGATATTGAGTGGTTTTTAAGAAGATCATGACGTGACGGACACGTTTTTATTGGCTTGTTTTTTGACGAGTCTTTACGAGGCTGAGAAATGGGCAGAACACGGGTGAAAAAAATCATGCACAGCTTTGAAAAACAATTGATTAACACAAACTAAGGTTCTTTTTTACATAAATATAACAAAATATGTAATCACAGAACAAACACTTCATCCATCAACCGATGACTTGCCTTTGAAAAACAATTGATTAACACAAACTAAGGTTCTTTTTTACATAAATATAACAAAATATGTAATCACAGAACAAACACTTCATCCATCAACCGATGACTTGCCTGCTGGCCCAACAAGCTAAACTGGTGAGAGCATTTATTTCGTTCGGCGTACATTCCAAGTTCGTGGTAAAATTGTGCCTGAAACATCAAAAGAAACGACAATAATGCAGAAAACATTTTTAGATTAATAAAAAGAAAAAGTAATTAAAATATTTTGTGATGAAAATCGATAATCAAACTCTCCTTTCACCTCCTTTAAATATTTTGAGCAGGTCTATAAACCTCACAAACTATCTCTTGGTGTTTTTTTTTAGGATTTTCCTTTGTTTCATTATGATAATAACTAGCTGGAGAACCTGTCCTTTGGATGGGTGAAATAAAATTCGTTTGTACAAAGGATAGGAAATTGTGCTTCTACTTTTTTTTTCTTGACATAATAAACATTAAAAGTGCAATACAAATACATAAAGGTACCAATACTGAAAAGAAAGTCATACTTTTTTCAAGAATTCTAACAATATTGGTTAGATAGTTCATTCTAATGCTAAGGGACATAGATATGAAAAGAGATGGGAGGGAGTCCACCGCCATCCCACTTCTTATGATCTTCCTCATGTCATCCTGTATCACTGTGTCAAGTTTGGTGCTGATTGATCAAGAAATGTGGAAATGTATAAGGAACACACACACACATATTGACATTTATCTATATAGAAGATGGGGGGGTCAAATCCCCACCCCCTTCATGACCTTCCTCATGTCATTCTATATGACTGTGTCAAGTTTGGTGCTGATTGATCAAGATATGTGGAAATGTATAAGGAACACACACACACATATATAATTATTGACATTTATTTATATAGATACAAAAAAGTACTACCTTCTGGTTACTATATATCAATAAGAAAAGTCTAATATTCCTTACCAAAGTCAAGTTCAGGATTTTGTGATTAAAGTCATGTATTTTGGTTACTTTTTTGATTGACTTCCTACAGAAATTTTGAACTGTTTATAAATTCTAAGAACCCATGAGTGAAAGCAGCAAAAAATATATAGTGATAGTAACCAAACTACATCTGTCATATCCATTGCCAACAATGCCTTTTACTCAAACAAAGCTCATCATGCTGGCTGGGATACAAAAGACAGAGTAGTGATCTAGGTAGTTATTATAAACGTTATTTACAAGAATTAATAACACAACATTATATAATATTACAAATTATTCATTAGTTATTAATTTTATTAATTTATTAGTTATCAGAAGTATGAGGTTAAGCATTAGTAAACCTTTTTCTGGAAATATAAGTTATAAAAATAAAAATACTTCTATCAGAAATACTTACCTATGAGAACACCACGTAATAAATTCTTTTTTTTTATAGAAAAACAACGATAAGGCCGTTAACAGATTTTATAATAGACATGATTAATAAAACTGTACTGGTAAAAATAAAAGGAATTTTTTAGTTGGAAGTAATAAAAAAATGGATTAAACTTTGGAGCTATAACATCACTGGTGATTCAATTAAATGTTAATGCTTGTTTGTTGGAAGCTACGCACAAAGCTACACAATGGGCTATCTACGCTCTGCCCACCACAGATATCAAAACCTTGTTTCTAGCATTGTATGTCCACAGACATACCACTGTGCTCCTGGGGGGCCAATTAAATGTTAAATAATAGCATTATTGATTTAAAGTATTATATAATATATGCAATCACTATACTTTTGAAAGAAGAATTCCATGTAATGCTTTAATGATCTATTTAATTACAATCTACCAACATAGTTCTTCTATGAAAAACAAAATGAGGCAAAATTAAAAGAGAGGTTCTTCTTAGTTTGTAATATATTCTTAGGATTTTATTTAAACAACAAACATACAGAGTGTAAAATCTTTCATTTCATAGCTTGCATCTAGTTTAACATTCTGCCTTACCTGCCAGTAAAGAGCATCTTTAACTCGATGATGAGCCAGTAACTGCTGGAATAAAACAACTGCAGTGCCTACCATCTCTACTCCTTTACGAAGAGCTGGATCACAGATTCAAAAAAGTTGATGTTATATAAGCAGTGTGTTGTAACTTTCAAACAGTAGCTAAAACAAGACACCTTACTAGTTTACCTACTTAGAATTTAAACTAGATGTTTTATGCCTTTTACATCAAATTCCTAAAAACTCTATAAAAATAAATGTGTACAAATATCAGAGAAAAGATCTTTCATCTACTAGACATGGAATATGTCATTCACTTGGCATGATAAAATTTGTTTTTGCATCTGGCTTTTCAACATGAAATAGTAAAAAACTCTAGCTTTTCAACAAGAAATAGTAAAAAAAATCTAGCTTTTCAAGATGAAATGGTAAAAAAGTATAACTTTTCAACATGAAATGGTAAAAAAATGTAGCTTTTCAACAAGAAATGGTAAAAAAAATTTAGCTTTTCTATATGAAATGGTAAAAAATCTAGCTTTTCAACATGAAAGTGTGCAGAAAAAAAAAGTCATTTTCTTCCTCACTTTATTGCAGATGTAATAACATATTACATCTAATGTAATAACATATTTATTTATAAATTCCTTATATTTTATCAAAAGAAAAGGTTAGAATTGGCAATGATACTTAAGATGTAGATTTGGACTTTTATAAAATCAGGATCACAGACCTTTGTGATAGGATTCTTGTCCTTCATCCAACTTAGCAGCAGCAATCACTGACTTAGCATACAATAGATGTGTTCTTGCCTTGTCGTACAAAGAGCCGTGGGAGAGAATCGTCAAAAAAACCGAATCAACGAGTTGGAGAGCCTGATAGGGTAACTTCAGCAGAAACTATGAAAAATAAATTACAGTAATAAATTACTCTTTCCTACTTTGGAAGAAATTAGTATGTCAAAGTGCACTCCGAGTGTAATTACCTTCGGTCGTATCACGAGACTATTCACAAAACAAAATATCTCTTTATTATAGATAAAACTGGTTTAACAATTTTCACTCAGCACATGAACATTTGGAACTTAAAAACATAACATATTCAGTTTGTTAAAAAAACTGGGATTAACTTACTCTTTCTTTTTTTAGTTTTGCTAAGTTAACAATAAAGCAGCTATTGATATTACAAAAAATATATGTTTTTATAATGCATAATCAGTGGGTGATAACAGCTTATAAATCTAGCTAACCTAATACTAATACAACAAACAGGAACAGTACACATTGCTTAGATCTACTTTTTCTTAATTTATTGGAAATATAAAATTTGAAATAAGTTCAAATTATTTTCTTTTTTGAATTTATGGAACACTTTATAGAAATCACACTTATTATCTGAGTTATAAAAACCGAACAAAAAATGTATCTCTAACTAATAACATTCTATTTTGCTGATTATCCCTAGCAGCATAAGAGACATAATTTGAATGCAATACAAAGATAATATCATTTAGATTGAAAACGAATACTAGACCACTGATATTTGAAGTTTAGTTCTTCGAGGAGACAGCAACTACAATGTACTAAATAACTCACCTGGGCTGCGGCTAGATATAGCACCGTAATAGCTTCAAGATAGGCATAATGGTTTTCTTTACAGATTGCCAAACTTCTAGTTAAACAAGAGATAGCCACAGATACATTTGGTGACTGGAGGTAAAGCTCTGATTCGAGGAGGAGGACTCTATCAGGTAAGATACGTCAAGAACGATTTATTAATCTTAATTTATCAAGTTTAACTGCAAATTATAAAATATTTACTACCAGGCACGAGACCAACCTCTTATGGTAAACAAAATCATTAACAGGAAAACTAATTTAAGTAATACAGAATTAAAAAAGTCACTTATTGAGTCTTTGTTTGTTTGTTTTCAATTTTGCACGAAGCTGCTCGAGGGCCATCCCTAATTTTCGAGTGACAGACTAGAGGGAAGACAGCTAGTCTACACCACTCATTACCAACTCTTGGCCTGTTCTTGACCAACAAATAGTGGGACTGACTGTCACATTATACTGCCCCCATGGCTGAAAGGATCATATATATAGATCATATATTTAAACATGAAAAAGAAGTACTTGAAACTAATACAAATACTTAGAAATAAGATTCAAATCTAATAGGAAACTTCAGATACATTTGTCATTAGATATGACAATAATATCATTTTTTAGGCAAATGCACTATGATAAGTAAAGTTAATACTGAAAACTTCCAAAAGGTACATTAGTGTTATAATTGTCTTGAAATGTAAGAAAATCCTAAAGAGTTACCAAAAATCAACAAACATGGTTAGTCTAAAATAAAAAAGTTTTTGTTTTAATTTGGAAACACAAGTACAATTTTTAAATATGAAGATCTTATAAAAACTAAAAACTCACCTTTGAAAGTTAATTTTAAGAGTGTCTACATGAACTACTTGGATTTCAGTTTATTACAACACAAGTGTCTACATGAACTACCTGGATTTCAGTTTATTACAACACAAGTGTCTGCCATGAACTACTTGGATTTCAGTTTATTAAAACACAAGTGTCCATATGAACTACTTGGATTTCAGTTGATTACAACACAAGTGTCTACATGAACTACCTGGATTTCAGTTTATTACCACACAAGTGTCTACATGAACTACCTGGATTTCAGTTTATTACAATACAAGTGTCTACATGAACTACCTGGATTTCAGTTTATTACAAGACAAGTGTCTACATGAACTACTTGGATTTCAGTTTATTACAATACAAGTGTCTACATGAACTACCTGGATTTCAGTTTATTACAAGACAAGTGTCTACATGAACTACTTGGATTTCAGTTTATTACAATACAAGTGTCCACTGAATTATTGGTAGGTAAGCCTGGGATCTGTGCTGTTTAAAAAAAAGAAAGAATATACTTTCTTATCTCAATAAATACAAAAAATCAACTAATTTAGAACTCTGAAAGAAGAACAGGTTTACCTAACATGAAAGAAGGCCAAACTCTCTGTTTCCTGTTCACAGTCAGATATCAGAGCCTGAATAAGGCTGTGGGCAGATGCTTTGACTCCTTGATGTAGCAGAAGTTGAGCTCGTCTTTAAAAAATATCAAGTTTATTAAAGTACACATAACAAATACATACCTGGTAATGAAAGTACACAATCAAATCTAAAAATTTAACAAAACCAGGAGAAAATACAATTTAAAAGAATTTTAGAGTATTATCAAATTACAAATCTATAAATGGTTCAAAAGATTATAATATCAAATTAATTTCTAAACAATACAGAATACAATAACACACGTACAGTTATCAGTGCTTGAATAATTAGTAAAATCATAACAATACTGGATTATCAATACGTTATGAAATGTTCGCATCTTCATCCTGTTTAATATAATTTTTTTCACAGCAGAACGTTCCCCTAAAAGATATCAACTTGATCTTCAATTGTGCAGCTAAAATAGTAGCCTCTACACAGTACACGTTAGGACCTTGACCAATGCTGTAGACCTTGACCAACAGAGCATACAAGAAGGATTCATTTTATATAATTAGTGTAAGCAGTAACTTCCAATTTCAAAGACTTTACTGTAGGACTTCTGCAGAATATACTTTCACTGGTGGATATGGAAAAAACTGCGTGTAAAAATACTAATTCAATTACAAGAACTTTGATAAATAATAAAATATATAACATTCACTTGAATCAATGTTTCAACTGGTTCAACACTAAAACACCCACATTTGATAACACAAAAAATGTACCACAACACTCACCTGAATCAGCTTTCCAATGAAACACCCACACTTACTAACTCAAAAATTGTGCTACAATATCTACTTGAAACAGCCATTAAACTGATTAATCACTGAAAAACACCCACACTTGCTAATTCAAAAAAATATGCCACAACATTTACTTGAACCAGCCTTTCTACTGATTAATCACTGAAAAACACCCACACTTGCTAACTCAAAAATTGTGCTACAATATCTACTTGAACCAGCCATTCAACTGATTAATCACTGAAAAACACCCACACTTGCTAACCCAAAAATTGTGCTGCAACACTCACCTGAATCGGCCTTCTAACTGGTTTAGCACTGAAACACCCACACCAGCTTTCTCTGCCACTTGCCATTCACCTTGAAGCAGAGCTTTCTCAAAGGCAATGGAAACTTCACACAATTTCCAAATATGTGAATGTTCAGAGTATGAGGGGAATAAGTCTTTGGCTAAGGCAAGAATCTCATCTGCTTCCAAATAGTGACCCTATAATTATCATTACAGATACATGAAAAGTTTAAATGAAAAATAAAACTGTTTTATGCATTAAAAGTTTTAGATCACGAAAAAAAAGAGCATTTTCTTTTATTTAAAAAGGTTTTATTAATGCAAGTTCAATGTACTAGTACAAAAGTAACATATTTCTAACCAAACTATGAAATAAAAGTCAAGATTTATCTACAAGTAAAACATTTGAAACCCATTTTATTATTTCCTAAATTGACAAATGAAAACTTTAACCATAGACACCTTCCCCATCAGCCGAGTCAGAAAAAGTTAATCAATTAACAGACACCTTCCCCATCAGCCGAGTCAGAAAATGTTAGTTAATCAATTAACAGACACCTTCCCCATCAGCCGAGTCAGAAAATGTTAGTTAATCAATTAACAGACACCTTCCTCATCAGCCGAGTCAGAAAATGTTAGTTAATCAATTAACAGACACCTTCCCCATCAGCCGAGTCAGAAAAGGTTAGTTAATCAATTAACAGACACCTTCCCATCAGCTGAGTCAACAGAGAATTCAATTCACCAATCAAATGTAATATTTGCATTTTTTCTTTCATTTAAATTTTTTATATGACTCATAATTTATTGTGGTATTCAGATAAACTGATATCAATCCAAATAGTTGCAAGAATTTACAAAATACAAATTCTGAAAATGTTATACAAAGAATAATCCTGAACATGAATGGCAGAGGAAGTATAAATGACACAAAATTATTATTCACACAGTACATGGTGAGTGTTTCCCATTGGCTGCCTAGCTTCCAATTTTGGTTTGAAGACTAACTAGCAGCAGGGGTAGAGAGGAGAATTTGAAAGCATGCTCACATAGGAGGAGGACAGGAATCAAGATATATGGATTAAATGAGAGAAGCATGTGGATACCCCCACTATTAATCCATATGAGAGTCCTAGTTCAGTACCTCACAATCTTTAAATTATATATGTCAATATCCATTCTAAATAAACATATTCAAAGGATATAAACACCCAACTCATGATAACTTGTACAAGTCTCTGTACCATCCCTTGAATTCCATAACAATGACACAGGGACAAACAAGACTGTAGAACATGCATTGTAATATGTAACTTTTATAAAAGGAAGAGGCTTAGTGGAAATTTATAACCTTCTAACGTCCAGTTAAAAAGAATAATGATAACAAAATTCAGAACACCTGCAGGACAATTAAGAAAAATTCCATGAATACATAATTAAAGATATATTCTATACCAGTTATGGAAAGGTGATATTATTCTGGACCCTATAACTAGCTAATTCATGAATCCACAAGCAATTTGATACACAGGCAATGTAGATAAATATGTTTGATAAACTATAGATCCTATTGGTACTTCTAAACTTTCTAAAATAATATAATATTATATCCATCTAGTTAGATACAGATATTTAAACTGTGATAATTAGATTCATCTGAGGAAGACAAAGAAACATACCTGAAGAGCAAAGTCCCAGGCAAGGTTTCTGAGAGCTAAACAGTAGCCTTCACCTATTTGGTATATCCCTCCTCTTACAGGATCTGTGGTGTTTAGGTTTAACAACAGCTGACTACTGAGGTTGGCCATACAGCTATAAATCAACAGATTAGTTCACTTCAAAAGTACAGTATTTGCATAATACTTAGTCCTGCAGTGGTGGCTTGAGAAAAATTCAATATACAATTTAAAAAGACATCTAATTAATATATATCAAATGAACCTAATGTTTCAATCATGAGAGATATTTGACCATACATAGATCTGTATTTTTTTTTGCTCAAAATACCTGAATGAACTAACGTAAAAAGGAATAATGCTACAATTAAGATTGAAGACTATTTCAAATGGAACCAGAGTAATGGGTCGATACCTCTTAAAGAATTAAGAGAAAAACATAATTTACAAGTCTTTCTGTGAGAGTTGTAAATTAAGAATTTCAGGTGGAATAATGCTACAATTAAGATTGAAGACTATTTCAAATGGAACCAGAGTAATGGGTTGATACCTCTTAAAGAATTAAGAGAAAAACATAATTTACAAGTCTCTCTGTGAGAGTTGTAAATTAAGAATTTCAGGTTTGAAGCCCAATTAGTTCCCATGACATTTAAGGTCAAGTCTAGCCTGTTAGCTGAAAATGAAAAAAAAATCAGACAATTTTAATTTCATAGATATGATTAATGACTTGCGTTAAAGCTAAGGGTACCGAAATTCCAAATTCACATTTCATTCTGACAAAATGACATGTATTTTCATATTTTTGGAATTTGAGGAAATGAAATCCATAACCCGTTCCACAATGTTGGGTTGAACGAAACATCCACATGAAAAACATTTGTTTATGTGCACAAAATGTGTTTTACTAGCATTTTTAGGTTTCTCATACTTAAAGTACAGTTTTTACAGAATTCAGGTGTTCAAGTTAAATTCCAGTCATTTAGTTTAATTCCTAATTCTACATACTAATGCTGTTGGAAAATGAGATTTACCAAGGGCAACTAAACCCCAGTTAACTGGTTCATCTGACTCGCGTGTCTTCTCCCTTCTTCACTTGTTCTCATATTAAAAGTCCATACACTAAACCTTACAATTTCTCATTATACCAAGGTGGTTTAATGCACTTGTTAAATTTTTGTTTTTTTCATTTTTAAATATTTTCTAACTTTACAAGCCATATTAGAACTGAATAACTTCTAAGTACAAGTTTCATATATAATATATAAATATATAATTACAAAAAACATTTTTGATCATAAAGCAATGTCAAAAACAATTTTCCCATGATTTTTATATTTATTTGTTCTAATATAGAAACATATGAAGTGATAATTATCAAAAAACATCGAGGTTGCCTACCTGTTTCCATACAGTGTCCATAATGCTGCCCTTTGAGAGTAGGCAGTGCCCAGTAATTCAGTCATGGAGTGTTGACAATTCAGAATGTCACTTTTCATCATGAGCTCAAACACACTATAAAACAGGTACTGTTTGTATACAGACAGTTCAAAACAGAGTTGTACCTAAATATATCTATGATAAAGGAGATTATATGAAATATTCTATTTTTTTTTTCTTTAAACATTATCCTTGGAACATGATTCCATAAAGAGTGAAGTCACAAATTGTTGCTAAGTTTAAAGATCACGATGGTATAGTGTTGCTTGCTTTGTGCAATTCCAAACATGAACAGAAATAAAACGTCAAACACCAGTGATTTTTACAACTGACATAACCTACACATGGAGACACTTATATATATAAAAGCAAATTGAGAATTTAAATACTACAGGTATTGATAACATGTTGAACATACTGCTTTGAAATAGTTAACTGCAGAAACTGGTACTTTTTTTTTTAATAAAAAGTTAATTCTTTAAAAATTGTTTTTCATTTTTACCATATTTGTTTTTATTTAAAAATATGTAATCTGATAGTATTTTTTAAACCAAGTTTTTACAAATCAAAACAATACTTTTATATAAAAATAACTTGTACTTACAAGGAGGGAGTTGCTGCTTTAAAGCATTTTAGCTGTGCAAGAGCCTTCACACTCAAAGATGATAAATACTGTATAACATGAAAAATAAATCAAATATTATCTAAGAGTTTTGGCTTCAAACACACATCGTGTTTTAAGTAATTCAATGATTTTATAGCAAACTTTTGTTACTCAAACACTTGTGCTTTTTACCATCTGGTAATATTCATTGTCAACTGCCATACTTAGGAAGTCTTTGCTCTCTCTCTCTCTCTCTCTCTATATATATATATATATATGGTAGATGACAATAAAACTAACAACGTAGTTTTCGGAAATTTACACTACATTTGAAAACTTATTAAAATTACAAAGAAGTTTGAAAGAAACACAATGCAACTATTGTGTAAGAAGCTAGAAATGTAACAACTTTATGGAAGATGTTGGAAAGACACTGAAACTATTAAAAGCGAAGTTAGAAATGTAAGTCAACTAATGAGAGAAATGTAGTCTGAGTTGGTAAAAAGTGCCTTACTAGAAAGCACTAGTGTATTAACCTTAGATCTAAGTTGGTGAGGACTTGGCTGGTGAAGAGAGATGTCTCAGGTTTGACCCTGGCTTAAGGAAATGCAAAAAACTCTTGATTACTATATAAAAATGGTAACCAATTAATGGTTATCTCATGTTCCTGAGATAAAGCCTGAAGACGTGCCTTATTTAAAGAGGAAAAGAATGTGGCAGTTTGAGTTTAATAAGTGATAGAGAGCTCTAGCTCAGTTGATAGAACATTTGTTCATAGTATGAGTAGTTCAATGTTCAATTCTGCTTGTCAGAAATGCAGAAACTGGATTGTAACAAGTCAGAAACATGTTGTTTCTACTGAAAGTCTGAAACATACTGCAACTATTTGAAAGACAGAAATATATTGCAACTAAAGAAACTCAAAAATATATTGCACCTGTTGAAAGAAATCAGAAGCATATTGGAACTACTGAAAAAAGTCAAAAATATACTGCATCTACTGGAAGGTATCGGAAATATACAGAAAGCCAGAAATAGTGTAACTACAGAAAGTCAGAAATAATGTAACTACAGAAAGTGAGAAATATAGTGTAACTACAGAAAGAAGCAAAAAAAAAATTGTGAAAATACCGAGATAATAAAAACATTATGCAAATAATAAAAGATTTTTGTTTTTTTTAGAACAGAGCCATATAATAGGCCATCTGTATTCTGTACAACCCCAGATTTTAACAGTGAACTTACTGCCAATCAACTGGGAACAATGATGAAAGAAGTCAAAAACTTACTGCAGCTGTTGGAAAAAGTCAGACCAAAAATATAATTATTTGAGGAAGTTAGAATCATTATACAACCACTGTTAGTTTTATACGTGCATAACTAACTTATAAGATTGGAGTTTGGTAACAATTTTACTTAACAGTGTTCTACTACAGTGAGTAATTTTCTTTATAATTTGCTCTCCACACTTTACTACAGCTAAAATGTGTAACAGTAGTTTTTTTAAATTGAATAAAAAGTAAATTTTCATTATTTAAATAATTAAGTCACTGATCAGGAAATATTAAAAAATATATGAAACATTTCAACAAGAAAATTACTTTTGGAAAGAAATACATTTGTTTGTTTTGTAGTTAAGCACAAAGCTAGAGAATGGACTGTCTATGCTCTGCTCATCGTAGGTATCGAAACCAGATTTTTAGCATTATAAGTCTACTAACGTACCACTGAACCACTAGTGGACCAAAGAAGTATTAAAAATTAAATAAATTTTTGATTCACAGACTGGAAAAAAAAGTAATATATATATGAAGAAGTCTTCTAAACTCTAGCAAACATGTTGTCTTTTAACATAGGATGAAATGTCAAAACTTTGGTGTAAGGACTTTCATTGATTGTAGCTTAAATTGTTGAACCAAATGTATTGTATAAAGATTTTCATTGGTTGTAGTTTAAAGTGTTGAACCAAATGTATGATGATATTATTAAAAAAATCAATTATTGTCAAGTGCTCTACTGGAATATATACAAGTAATAACTACATGAATGCAAATGGAAAATGAAACAGTGAAATGTGAATTATGGCTTACAGAAAGTATCTTCAAAGATTATCTTTTTTTTTTTGTCAAATATTACATCTAAACATTTAGTCAAAGCTGTATCACACAATTACTGTAAAAAATTTGTTCTCACCCACAAGTTTAACTCTCAAACATGACATCTAAACATTTAATCAAAGCTGTATCACATAGTTACTGTAGAAATTTGTTCTCACCCACAGGTTTAACTCTCAAACATGACATCTAAACATTTAATCAAAGCTGTATCACATAGTTACTGTAGAAATTTGTTCTCACCCACAGGTTTAACTCTCCCGACTTTGAAATGGACTTTTCAATAAGTGGTTCTGCATTTTCTGGTGACAAACGATATAACCAACACTGTATACAGACAGACACAAAAAATATCAACATTTGAAACATTATTACTAACCTACTACAAATGTTTTAATACATATTTATATTGATGCAGACATAATAAAAACTACTATTTGTCTGAGTTGACTGTAAAATGAACAGAAACTATCTATTAGAGAAACACTAAAAGAAAAATACTGGTGACTATGTTTCTAGAAACGTTTTTCTAACAGGCAGTTGCCGCCCAATTCACAGTCAACTCCATATGAATACTCTACCTATACAATCTATAAAATAAAACTATTTTTTTTATAAATATTAGTTTACTGCTTTGGCCATTTGAACCTGGATCTTGCACTTTATTTTTTCCAGATCAGTACATAGAAGAGTTTTTAATAATAATAATTACTACTAGAACATGTTTTGAACAATTTGGAGGTTTAAAGTTTTCCTTCAGCATTACACATGATTTTAATCGCTATCTTTTATATCTTTTGACATATGTCACCAAAAGTTTTAAAATTAAAACATCTAGATTTTAGATGTGTGTAGAGTAGGATGATACATTTACTATATCATGTAGTAACTGGCCATTTTCATGAATTTAAAATTCTCAACATTTTGTAATAGTTAAAAAAATAAAAATAATTATTGACCTGAAATCTTCTGATGGAAATCTTTCTCATTTAAGAGGGTTGTTAGCCTTCAATTACAAATGTTTACTGCTAGAACAAAACACACCGATTGTTTGTTTGTAATTAAGCACAAAGCTACACAATGGGCTATCTGTGCTCTGCCAAACATGGGTACCAAAACCCGGATTCTAGCGTTGTAAGTCCGCAAACATACCACTGTGCTTCTGGGGGGGCCAAAACACACTGATCGATGAAAAGTCAACCTAATCAAAGATCCAATTACTTTCTCTTCCTTTGTATTATTGCATCATAACTTGAAATAACACGGATGAAGACGTGATAAGATAAAGAATCTAATAACAAACTTGAAAATGTTTAGGAAAAAACATTTCAAAATTTAATTCTGAAATGCTTTTTTTGAAATAAAAACTAAAAAATGTCTCGAGTATAAGACACTGTTTAATCATTAACCAGGATTACAGGGCTTACTTTAGAATGATAAATAAACGTACTAAATATGTTTAAAGGTATTATAATGCAAATGGTAACTCAGTGCTTCAAGGAAACTAACATCTCTAAAACCAAACAATGCTGATTATCCTACATATTCTATAATACAACCTATGAACATTAATCTTTAATGTTACAATATAACGACTTTGATGTTGTATGCTGTAAATTTTTAATTAATTACTTTTCAAAAAAGTTATTGAAAATTTCTCTCTGTATAGGAATCATTTCTTGAATAAATTTTTTCTCTGAGTGTCTCCTGTATAATCTAGGAAGCTTTTCAACTATTAAATTTTTAAGTGTAAACATAGTAATTCTGATCTTAAAATATTTGAAGTTGAAGATATTCAAGAAACAAGAAACCTGAACTATTTTTAAGAATGGTGAACCTTGATGTTCCAAAATCAGAACCTTGACCAAATGTATTGTTATTATTTTTTGTTAGTATTTGTAATAATGATAATTCAACCATTTTACCATGGATAGGCTACTTACATACTTATAAAGTAACACCTCAAATTATTTTGTCAAGGAAGAAATGTGAATATCAATTTCTGAGAAACTGAACAAAAAAAACCTTTTCTTTAGAAAAGATCTCCTAATTCTTCATTAAAGATCTCAATTACTGTTCTTGTTTTCTGAGCAACAAACATTTTAGAAACATTAAAATAACTGCACATATTTACAAATTAGATTTTGAAAAAGCACATCTGCATATTTTGGTTAAAAATCAACAAATAAAGCATCTACTATGAAAATTAGAAGTGTTTCTATAGGGGTTTACACTTACTAAAGAATGCTGGAGACAAATAGTGTCATTAGCTTCCTGTGCCATTGTTATTGCTTCTTTCAGGGCAGCCACAGCTTCTTGTCTATAACAAATACATGAACTTCATTATTTGTAAATACCATAATACATGTGTTTGTATATATATATATATCCTCCATTGTAAATACCACAATACATGTGTGTATGTGTATATATATACATATATCATCCTTTGTAAATACCACAATACACGTGTGTGTATGTGTGTATATATATACATATATCCTCCTTCGTAAATACCACAATACATGTGTGTGTGTGTGTGTGTGTGTGTGTATACATATATCCTCCTTTGTAAACACCACAATACATGTGTGTGTGTGTATATAT